TACAACTAGAAGGAAAGAGAAAAGCACACTGAAACTCAGATAAGGTGCGGAAGTAAAGTGCAGAGGTACGGAGGCACACGCGGAAAGGGCTGGCAACTGACGACGTGGTTGTCTTTTTCAATCTGGAGGGAGACACAAGCTCCCGACGGCACTGACTCCAGTTCTGGGCGAGCCTCTGGGGACCCAAACTCATATGGGGAGAAACTGGACTGTCTGGCAGCAGGTGGAACTTGAGGTCGGCTTTCTCTCAGAGGTGCTTGCAGTGATTACCACAGGGCATTGAGACCCAGGACCTCTTAGGGCAGGGCTGAGGATCAGCCATAGCTGTTTGCTCCACCCTGTTGATTCCCTGAGACCCCGCCCCACCCAAGCTGTGAGCAGAGGCTTTTGCATATGAATGAACTGGCCCTTTGCAATCTAAAATTACCTAACAAACTGCAGCTGGGTCAGAGAGACCCAGAACACCCAAAAGAAGGCCGAGGCCCCACAGCAGCTTGCATTGCTTCACAGCTGGGCCTCATCTGGGCACCTCCAAATCCCAAACAAAGAAGAGGAATCTGCAGATCTCTCTGTAGCTCCTGCTGGGTAGCCTCAGGCAGAGGCTAAATTAGCACCTCCTTAGAGATCCAAGTGCCAGTGTACCCAGTGGTCAGAGTGGGACCATCCAGATTACAACTCCTCAGATCCATAAGGGACACACTCAGGGGGCAGACTCAGTGAGCACCAAAGACCCACTGAAGCAAGTCTTGCCCCATAAGGGTGCCTCCAGCACAGAAGTTCTCCCACTGTAGACACAGCTGATTCTCATAGCCAATTGGCCTGGAGGTCAATTCCTCCCAGTGATACCAACTACAATCAAAGCTTAACTACAACAAGACTGTGCACACAGCCCACAAAGAGGTGCACCAAGAGTGTCCACCTCAGGTAATTGGGGAGGCTGAGCCACTGGGCCCTATAGGACACCTAGCACAGAAAGCCACTCTGTCAACACAGGGAAGCATAAAAAATGTGGAGACAAAGAAACAGGTCACAAAGGACAGAAATGGAGGAAAGCAAACTACTGGATATAGAGTTCAAAACCACGCTTTTAAGGTTTTTCAAGAATTTTCTAGAAACCGCCGATAAATTTAGTAAGACCCTCGATAAGTCTAGTGAGACTCTCAAGGATATGAAAAAGGACCAACTAGAAATTAAGCATACACTGACTGAAATAAAGAATATTATACAGAGATCAAACAGCAGACTAGAGGATCACAAAAATCAAGTCAAAGATTTGAAGTACGAAGAAGTAAAAAACACCCAACTGGAAAAGCAAAAAGAAAAAAGAATCCAAAAATACGAAGATAGTGTAAAGAGCCTCTGGGACAACTTCAAGCGTACCAACATCCGAATTATGGGGGTGCCAGAAGAAGAGAGAGAGCAAGATATTGAAAACCTATTTGAAGAAATAATGACAGAAAACTTCCCCTACCTGGTAAAAGAAATAGACTTACAAGTCCAGTAAGTGCAGAGAACCCCAAACAAAAGGAATCCAAAGAGGACCACACCAAGACACATCATAATTAAAATGCCAAGGGCAAAAGACAAAGAGAGAATCTTAAAAGCAACAAGAGAAAAAAAGTCAGTTACCTACAAGGGAGTACCCATACAATTGTCAGCTGATTTCTCAACAGAAACTTTGCAGGCCAGAAGAGAGTGGCAAGAAATATTCAAAGGGATGAATAGCAAGAACCTACAACCAAGATTACTTTACCCAGCAAAGCTATCATTCAGAATTGAAGGTCAGATAAAGAGCTTCACAGATAAGAAAAAGCTAAAGGAGTTCATCACCACCAAACCAGTACTATATGAAATGCTGAAAGGTATTCTTTCTTTTTTTAAAAATATATATTTTATTGATTTTTTACAGAGAGAAAGGGAGAGGGATAGAGAGTTAGTTTTTATTTTTTCTGTAATCTTTATTCAGATTATTACAGTTGTTCCTCTTTTTTCCCCCCATAGCTCCCCTCCACTTGGTTCCCACCCCACCCTCTGCCCTTATCCCCCACCCCCCACTGTCCTCATCCATAGGTGTACGATTTTTTGTCGTACAAAAAAATAAAAATAAAAGTAAATAATTAAATCAATAAAACTGACACACACACACACACACACACACACACACACACACACACATCACTTGTTCCTTCTTGGGCTCCACACCCAAGTTAGAGTCAGGCCACCCCAACTACCCAGGACCCTAAGTACGAGCTTTGATGACTCCCCACTCCAACCCGATGTCCAGTCAGGCATTCCGCCCTGTGGGTTCCACCTCCAACACCTCTCAGAGCCTCGCCTCTCCCTCCGCCCCTTCTTACCCTTTTGGTTTCTCTCTTGCCCCTCCCACTGCCACCAAGCCCACATGCTCTCTCTTTCCTCTTCGCACCTCAACCCCAACCCAAGCCTTGCCCAAAACACTTCACCCCCTCCCCCACTCCCTGGCCCATCCTATTCAACACTGAGGTCTCAGCTAGTAGTCCCCTCTCATAAGAAAGCTTCTCATAAGAAAGGGGTTGCACCCCTCACCCTGCCCTAACACCCCCACCCTGCCCTAACACCCCCGCCCAAGGAAATAGCCAGACCCAAGCCCCAGGCTCCAGCTCTGGGGGGGCGGGGGGGGTGGGGGTGCTCCTGCAACCTTGGGAGCCTGGGGGGCGGGAGGGGATGAAGCCAGGACCTGCCTGAGACTAGAGGTTCCCACCGGTGGGGACAGCTGGGAGGAAGGTCTGGGGCATCTCTGAGAGGCAGCTTCTGGGTCTCAGCAAAGCTTCCCCCGGACCAGGATGCCTGGGGAGGGGCTGGGCAGGAGGCAGCATAAGAGACCCCGTGGGCCCTGGCTGGTTGCTCAGTGGTTAGAGCATCGGCCCTCGACTGAAAGATCATGGGTTCGATTCCCGTCAAGGACACGTACCTCGGTTGCAGGCTCCATCCCAGTGGGCGGCAACCAATTGATGTGTCTCTCTCACATCAATGTTTCTCTCTCTGTCTCTCTCTCTCTCCCTTATACACGCTCTAAAAAGTATCAAAGGAAAAAATATCTCAGGTGAGGATTAACAAAAAATAAGTACAAATAAATTTTTTTAAAAAAATAGAGAGACCCCGCCCTGACTGGTTTGGCTCAGTGGATAGAGCATCAGCCTGCGGACTGAAAGGTCCCAGGTTCGATTCCGGTCAAGGGCATGCACCTTGGTTGCGGGCACATCCCCAGTAGGGGGTGTGCAGAAGGCAGCTGATCAATGTTTCTAACTGTCTATCCCTCTTCCTTCCTCTCTGTAAAAAAAAAAAAAAATCAATAAAATATTTTTTTTTTTTAAAAAAAAGAGAGACCCCCTGGGCTTGAGTCCAAGGACATCAACAGTGACCATGAGGGACGGAAGTTGAGCCACAGGCCCTCTCCCCAGATTCTTTCCAGGAGCAACAGAGGCCTCCCAGGTTGTCATTGAACTCGCGGGCCTTCTCCAAACCACTGACCGAATGGCCCGTTCAGGCGGAGGATGGGGGCGTTAGAGTTAATGTGAAATTAACAATGAAAGGTGGCGTTTTCGCGCCCCCCAGTCTGTTCACGCACATCGCGCTGTGTTTGCGCTGGTTGCTGAGTATGCTGTGGAGCAGCAATCCTGTTGCACATTTTCCCCTCGTGCACAGCCCATTCTGCCGCTCCGTGTGCCCAACAGCCCCTCCCGCCCGCGGGTCTGCGAGCTTCCACTTCAAACATGCCTCCGTCTGTCTCCAGACTCCCTTTCCCGTCCTCCGGTCAATCTGTTTATCCCTGGGACAAGTATCTAAATATACGGGCTTTTCTTAAATTATTTTTTGTCATTACTGTCTAACTTCATTGTATTGACGTCAGAGAATGTGCTCTGTATAATGTCCGTTCTTTGAAAGTTTGGGAGCTTTTCTAAGCTAGTCTGCAATCAATATTTTAAAATGGGCCATAAGTGCTGAGACCAATATGACTGTGGGACGCAGGCTGCAATCAATGTCCATTAGATCGAGCTGTGTACGCCTGCTGTTCAAATCTATGTCTGGTCCAAATTTTCCAGCTTTCCTATCAATAATAAGAGACGCATTTGAAATAGCCCATGTTGATGGTAGATTTGTGCATTTCTCTTTCTTCTATCATTTTTTTTAAAGTCGGTTTTATTGAAGTAAATTGACACCTAATAAATTTCACTCATCCCTGCCCCCACATATGGTGGGGCATTTCCCGGAAGTGGTCCCACCCCAAAGCCTGGACCCCAATGGGGTTCCAGGCCACAATTCTGGGGCCGTTTCCTGGAACCACCAAACCCATTTCGTGTCACCGTGGCCACATCCTCTCTTGAGTAGCCCTGGGCTTAGACCCCAGGCCCCAGCGAGGGGTGAAAAGGGAGGTCCGGGCAAGGCCTCCCCATCACTAGGCTGCCAACCCAACCTAGGTCACCGCTCCCCGGAGCTGCCCAAGAGAGGGCCTGAGAGTTTCCATGATCCCTGAGCACCCTAATTAGCATGGGAGCCACCCCAAGACCTGGGGAGCGTTGTACAGGTCAAGGCTGGCTAAACTAGGGGGACTCAAATGGGGGCTCACATCATCCTGATAGAGGTGGGGGCACACTCTGCTTGGAGTCAGAGCGGGAAAGACACTTTCTCTACGGGGCAATTAGAGCGATTTCCTGGAAGAAGTGACCAAGGGCCGTCAGGTATTTAAGTAGAGCGGAGGATCCGGGAATGGAAGGGTGGGGACAGGTGGCAACAGCCTGGAGGCTGAGTTGTGTGGGGAAGGTTCCTAAAACAGCAGAAGGCCAGCGAGGCTGGAGCAGAGGGCACTCTGGGGGAGGGGGAGGAGGTGGCCAGGCCGAGGGGCGGCAGAACATACCCCACGAGGAGCTGGGCCCGGGATGCTGAGCAGACCTGGGGCTTGGACAGGTTGGCCTCTGAGACTCACCTGACGCCGTTAGTCATAATAGCCAAAGTGCTCACCGTCACCATAGTAACATTTATTGCGCTCTTACTCTGTGCTCAGCCTCTTTATATGGAGTATTTCATTGAACCTTCAAAATCAGTCCCCCTGTTGCCCCTATTTACAGGCGGGGAAACTAAGGCACAAGGAGGTTGATGGCTCGTGGCAGAGCTGGCATTTGAGCCCCACCAGTCCGGCTCCAGAGCCACTGACCACCGCGTGAAGGGCCGTTTGCATCAAGGAATGAACAGAGGGCATAACCAGAGGGATCCAGCTTCCATTCCTTCCCTGTGCCATTCAAAGTCATTAAAACCTGTCCCATGGCCCGGAGCTGGGCGCTGAGAGGTGTGCCCAGAGCACAAGACCCAAGAGCCAGAGAGGCCGCTGTGTTGGGTAAAGAGGGAAATGGCTGTGAACAGCGCTGACAGCCCTCCTCCTGGGCACTCAGCAGGCGCAGTCCTGGAGGCAGAACCCCTCCCTCTGGTGGGTCCTGTTCCCAGACCGGCCATCCCAGCATTTCCAGGAGCGGTTCTGGTGCCAATAGCCTCTGAGCGCAGGTCAACAGCGCCCCCTGGTGTGCAGTCTCGGAAAGGCTCCGGCTTCATCAGTTTCCCACTCGGTAGAACAGATAGGTCAAGGGCCTGACCTTGGATTTAGAACCCACACCCTAGGCCTAGCGAGGGAAATCCAATTCTATCCATTTGTCAAATAGCCGGCCACGGAGGCCCAGCTGGCTCAGGTGTAGGGCAAAGAGGCAACCCCTTCTACCCCTGGAAGCCCCGTGGCCCTGGCCGCTGGTCTAAATGGCCTTGGAGACTTGGGAGGTCTGGAGGGAGGGGAGGCCTCTGGGAAGGACGGGGCTTCCTGATCTCTGAGAACTGTGGCCGTGGAGTTGGGGTCATTATAGTTTTGGGGGGATTAAAGGGAAAGAGGCCTTGAGCATAGGGGGGTGGCCCAGCCGGACGATGCAGTTAACGGGGCCCACTGTGACCCTCCTCCTCCCCGGCCTTACTCAGGCTTCACAAAGCTCTCAGTCTAGGCAGGACCAGAGCCATCTGCTTCGTGTCAGATGCGGAAACCGAGGGTCCATGAGAAGTGACAGGCCCAACATCACACAGTAAGACCCTGAGCCAGGCCGGGTAACATGGCCTCCTGGCTCCCAAGCCAGAGCTCTGTCCATAAGCCAGGCACCAGGGCGAAGTTTGTTGCCCCCCATGGGGTTGGACCTGCCCCCGAGTAGAATGCCAAGGGCACAGTCTGGGCATTTCCGTCTGGGCCGGGGAAGCCACGGAGGTGGACAGCCTCCCTAGAGGGCACAGGGCTCTGGTGTCCAGCAGCTGGCCTGCCACCCTCTCTGGCGGAAGCCAGGGCCTCAGATGCAGGCAGCTGGAGCGGCTGGGGATCCGGCCGCGGTGCAGACTAGTGCATCATCTGGGAGGTGCTGAACGCCTCCTTCTCGGCCTCCTTCTCGGCCTCCGCATGACACCTCTGGGAGCAGAACCACAGGAAGAGGAAGAACCCTGCAAGCAAAGGGCTGGTCAGTGAGCGCATCGCGGGGGCATCGTGGCCTCTCCCAGGATCCTCCTTGGTTGGGTGAGTTGGGCCTCCCTGAGGCCCTGCACTCATTCTTGGGATTCTTTGCTGCTGGAGGCCAGGAGGGGTGGAGCATGGGAGCGGGAGGTCCGGCCACTGCTAGTCTAGAGGGAGCCTTTGTGCAGGTTGCAAAGCGGCACCTCCTGCTCTGGGGGGACGTAGCCCCTCACCAGCTCCTCCTGGGGCTGGACGTCAGCCCCTGACTCGCCCTGGACCTGAGCCTTTCCGCAGTGAACACCTACCAGGTGTGCACGCCACCACCCCGCCTCCCCCAGGCCGCCCCCAGGACCCACCGTAGAGAGAGTTGAAGATGGTAAAGAGGAAGAGCTGGGGCAGCAGGAAGACGCCAAAGGAGAAGAAGGCCAGGGCCCAGGTGGTGCCCAGCAGCACGGTGAGGCCCAGCACGGTGACGGTGTCCCTGCAGGCCCGCGAGCCTGGCGCCTCCTCCCGCGCCTTCAGTCTGCGCAGGGTCCGCAGTGCCCAGGCCAGCACCACCAGGTTGAAAAGGGTCGTGAGGCCACCGTAGCCCATGACCAGGACGTGGTGCACCCCGGGGTTCCGCACCCAGCATCTGCAGGGGAGGGCGAAGGTCAGGGCGCTGTGGCTCTGGGACTGGGGAAACCGCGGGCTCTTGGGCCTCGGGACTGCCTCTTGAACCCTGGCCAGTGTCTCAGCACAGGCCTCCTGTTCCTTGCCTGACTGCACACGGGTGAAGTCCTGGGCCGGCTTTCCGGCCAGGCCTCCAGGACAGGACCCACCTGCCACCTGGGCCCCTGCCTACAGCCCCCCGTGCCTCCTTCCCAGCCCTTTGCCTCCCCAGGACACCCTCATGACCTGTGTTGCCTTTGCCACAGTCAGACACGGTGTCACATACTTTCGAGAGATTAGCCCAGTCAATCCTCATGATGACTCTATCATGAGGCAGGTCTGCAATCATCCCCATTCTACAGATGAGGAAACCGAGGCTCTGGCTTAGGAACACACACTAGTCAGAGGCAAAGATGGGACTTGAAGCCCTCTGGTCTGAGCCCAGAGCCTGTGCCCCTGACTGTCAGCATGAGAACAGCCAAGTAGTGCAGGTGGTTGCAGCCACCTCAGGGCTCCAGGCACCCCCTTTCAGAAGACACAGCCAGGGCCCTGCCTGCAGACACCCTGTTCAGGGCCCCCAGGAGCCTGCCACAGCCTGGCGCGCACTCACATGGACATGTGCTGGAAGCCCGTGCTGTTCCCCTGGCTGTGGGAGAGAGGGATCGTGTGGCGGCCGTAAGCTGAGCTCTTGATGGCAAGGAGGAGCAGCACCAGGAGGGCAGGGACCCCTGAGGAGAGGGACAGAGGCTCAGCATCTGCCAGGAGACCCCAGGGACGGACTGGTGGTGGGTCCCTGTGGCTGCTGAGACAGAACTCCACTGGGAGAGGGGTGGGTAGAGAGAGTCTGTTCCGAGCCCCCAGCCCGTCCTGTGGTCCAGCTTCAGAGCAATCAGCCTGGAGATCTCAGAGAAGGCTGTTCTCCCAGGTGATGGGGGTGAGGGCTCTGAGGTGGGACAGGGGTGGCAGCAGTGGTGGCCACACTGGGAGGTGGTGACTGGGAACTAAAGGGAGAGAGGATTGAGGAACAGGTCATAGAGGGGCTAGGATGGTGCTAGAGAAACAATGACAGTGGTGCCCGAGATAGTGGTGAAGGTGAGGATGAGGATGGTGGCGATGATGGAGGGTGGGGTGGGGGGAGATGTAGTTAAAATGGTGGTGGAGGTAACGGTGGTGTTGGAGGTAGAGGTGGTGGAGAGAGAAGTAGTGGAGGTGATGGAGGTAAAGGTGGTGGAGGTGATGGTGATGGAGATGATGGTGGTGATGGAGGCAGAGGTGGTGGAGGTAGAGGTGGTGGAGGTGATGGTGGTGGAGGTAGAGGTGGTGGAGGAAGAGGTGTTGGAGGTGGTATTGGTGTTGGAGGTAGAGGTGGTGGAGGTGGTATTGGTGTTGGAGGTGGTATTGGTGTTGGAGGTAGAGGTGGTGGAGGTAGAGGTGGTGGAGGTGGTATTGGTGTTGGAGGTGGTATTGGTGTTGGAGGTGGTATTGGTGTTGGAGGTAGAGGTGGTGGAGGAAGAGGTGGTGGAGGAAGAGGTGGTGGAGGTGATGGTGGTGGAGGTAGAGGTGTTGGAGGTGGTATTGGTGTTGGAGGTAGAGGTGGTGGAGGTGATGGTGGTGGAGGTAGAGGTGGTGGAGGAAGAGGTGTTGGAGGTGGTATTGGTGTTGGAGGTAGAGGTGGTGGAGGTGGTATTGGTGTTGGAGGTGGTATTGGTGTTGGAGGTAGAGGTGGTGGAGGTAGAGGTGGTGGAGGTGGTATTGGTGTTGGAGGTGGTATTGGTGTTGGAGGTGGTATTGGTGTTGGAGATAGAGGTGGTGGAGGAAGAGGTGGTGGAGGTGATGGTGGTGGAGGTAGAGGTGTTGGAGGTGGTATTGGTGTTGGAGGTAGAGGTGGTGGAGGTGGTATTGGTGTTGGAGGTGGTATTGGTGTTGGAGGTGGTATTGGTGTTGGAGGTAGAGGTGGTGGAGGTAGAGGTGGTGGAGGTGGTATTGGTGTTGGAGGTGGTATTGGTGTTGGAGGTAGAGGTGTTGGAGGTAGAGGTGGTGGAGGAAGAGGTGGTGGAGGTGATGGTGGTGGAGGTAGAGGTGTTGGAGGTAGAGGTGGTGGAGGTAGAGGTGGTGGAGGTGATGGTGGTGTTGGAGGTAGAGGTGTTGGAGATAGAGGTAGTGGATGTAGAGGTGGTGGAGGAAGAGGTGGTGGAGGTAGAGGTGGTGGAGGAAGAGGTGGTGGAGGTGATGGTGGTGTTGGGGGTAGAGGTGGTGGAGGAAGAGGTGTTGGATGTGGTATTGGTGTTGGAGGTAGAGGTGTTGGAGGTAGAGGTGTTGGAGGTAGAGGTGTTGGAGGTAGAGGTGGTGGAGGTAGAGGTGGTGGAGGTGATGGTGGTGTTGGGGGTAGAGGTGGTGGAGGTTAAAGCCATGGCAGACACAGTGGTGTTGGAGGTGGACGTGAGATAAGAACAGTAACGTAGGAAGTGGTGGTGAGTGTTGGCGGGATGATGACGGTGGTCCTGCAGTGGTCATGATGAGGAGGAGGAAGGGAAGGAGAAGGACAGGCGGGCAGATGCTCAGTGCAGCTGGAAGTCTCGGGGAGCAGGAGGGAGGGAGGCTGGGCTTACCCCAGCCCACTGCGCAGAGCTTGAGCACGTATCTCCGGACGTAGATGTTGTAGACACGCCCCAGGAGAAGGTAGAGGTTGAAGCCTTCGATGGCCATCCAGGTGAGGCAGCTGAGCAGCGCGAAGTGCAGGATGGCGCCCAGTGCCACGCATGCTGCCCCGGGCACGGAGGGCAAGGCCAGCGCGGGGCTCAGCAGGAAGGCGACATTCAGGAGCAGCACGGAGGCATGCAGGTGCATGTGGATGCGTGTGATGAAGTTACTCTGCTTCCTGTGGGTGGGAGCGTGGCCCTTGGTGGCCTGGGGACACCACCCAGGCCTGGGCTCAGAGACACACAGTGACGGGGACACAGGTCGAGGCGGGCAGGGAGCCACCAGCAGCCACGCGGTGAGGCTGGTCCCCTGCCTTGCGGCCCCCGCCCTCTGGAGAAACCCATCCCACTCTGGGGGACCAAGCAGAAACGAAGGAGAAGTGCTGAGCAGCCGTGGTGGGCAGGCCTGGCACCGGGGCATACCTGGCGTGGAAGTGCAGCAGGAGGGTGAGCAGGGAGGCCACGATGGAGATGCTGCAGCCCACGAAGGAAATGTAGGTGAGAGGTGCCAGCAGCTCCGCCGGGAGCGGGGCTGGGGAGAATTGCTGTGGGAGAGACGGGGGACTGGAGACCAGGGCATGGAAATGCCTCCCGCCAGGCTCAATCGGAGACCTGCCAAGACCCCAGGTCCGACCCCATTGCCCCACAATCCTCACCATGGTCCTGGCTCGAAAAAAAGCCGTGGCAGCCCTAACCGGTTTGGCTCAGTGGATAGAGCGTCGGCCTGCGGACTCAAGGGTCCCAGGTTCGATTCCGGTCAAGGGCATGTACCTTGGCTGCAAGCACATCCCCAGTAGGGGGTGTGCAGGAGGCAGCTGATCAATGTTTCTCGCTCATTGATGTTTCTAACTCTATCACTCTCTCTTCCTCTCTGTAAAAAATCAATAAAACATATTTAAAAAAGAAAAAAAAAAGCCATGGCAGACACTGGCTTTCCAACCTCCCAAATCCCGTCTCCCACCTCCACTGTCCCTGCGAGATCTCCCCTGCCTCTGCGAGAGCCTCCCTTCCCTCACTGTCCATACATGTAGGTGGACCCACCGCTTCTCCCACTGCTGTGCACAGGTGCACCACTCCTGGCCCGTGAGAGCCCTCCCTCCTCCTGTCCACAGCGATTGGTTAAGGGATAGGCAGGTGACACACTCTAGGCTGGTGGGACTCAATCACAAGAATGTGACCGGCAGAAATGAGTCAGAGAGGCTATCATTCCACTGGCCTAAAAGCTAGTAGGACGTGAGGCCTGTCTTGGTGATAGTGAGCCCCTGGATCAAGCCATACCTGAAGCCTAACCCAGCCTTTTCAGGAACATAAACCCATCACTTTCCACCCCACCCCCAAGCTCATTTGAGTTGGATTTCCAGCCTTTGCCCTGCTAGTCTGTCCTGAGAAGCAACTCGGGGGCCTTCTGCAACTCTGACCACCCTCAGCCCGGCTGCAAGCACACATACCATGAGAACAGCAAAGTAGCTGAGGTGGTTGCAGCGACAGAGCACCTGGGAAGGTGAGGGCTGCTCTGTGCGACAGCCCTCAGGGCTCCAGAGCCCCCAGTGGAGCTCGCTGGCTCCCTCCTTCCAGAAGACACAGGTCACGTTGTAGTCTTCCTAAGGGGAGATGCAGGAGTTGGGTGCATCCAAGGGGTCCAGGGGAGGGGTCAGGGTCTGGAAATCGTGGGGGCCAAAGCTGACTCGACTGCATCCTTGTCAACCTTTTACCAGGTACTGGCTGGGCTTTGCCATCAGGCAGACCCAGATTCTAGCCCCGCCTCCACCATGGACTCTAAGAGTGACTTGGGCACACACATAGGTTCTCTGAGCCTCAGTTTATTCATCTGCAAAATGGGACCATTTATACCAAGTCATAAGGATAGTGGAAAAATTAAAGGCAATGAGGAATCTTGAGTGCCCAGCTCTGGCGTCTACAGTTGGTGCTCTATAATCAACTGTCCCCTTCTGCCTCCTCCCTGTGGGGAATAACGGTGGTCCAGAGCCTTCCCAGTGGGGGGAGAGAGATTCGTCCACAGGCAACCATGACACCAAGCCATGTGGGTGGAGGGTGGGGATATGACACAGACGGTGCCATGGAAAACCACAGGAGGGGCAGAGGAGTCCTGAGGAGGCAAGGGACGATTCGGGGACTGAGGCCTTGGAGGACATGCTGGGTTACAACAGGATGGAGGGGACCACAGCGGCCAAGGCCCAGAGGAATGAAAGGAAAGGATGATGGTGAAATCGAGAGTGCAGAGAGGAGGCTGATGGGAATATGGGGCCGGAGCACACAGGCTCTAGGGCTTTTCGGAATGCCAGGGACAGAAGGGCAGGGGCCTGCAGCCCTACCTCCTGCTTCCCGTATCAGTGTCTGCACTTCTCTTAAGGGCCCACCCCGCCCACAAGGGCAGGTCAGATGAATCCAGCCTGGCCCCTGGGCCCTGTGACCCAGGCCTGGCCAATCCACACAGTCCATCCTCCTGGGCACAGTGACAGTTGAGGGATGGACATGTGACCAAACTGGACCTTTAGGACGCCATTCAGGGACCTGGCAAGGAAGACCCTCTGAGAAGAGGGGAAGAAAGTCCGACCCTTCAGCTGCCTTCGTGCCACCGAGTGGAGAGCCAAGGCAGGAAACCATTGCTGAGAGATGGAGAGAGACTGAGTCCTGATGGCACCATATCAGCCCCTGGATCCAGCCGTGCCTGAAGCCAGCCCTGCCCTGGACATTCCATGTACACGAGCCAATAAGTTATCTTTTGTGCTTGAGTTGCTGGAGTTGGTTTTCTATCACCTGCCACTCAAAGAATCCTGACTAATGCCATGAGTAGAAGCTTCGCTCTCTCATTTCTTTGGTAAGAATTTTCAAAGTGTGATGGATTTAAAACCATTTGTTTCCAAGATGGTCCCGCAGGTTTGAGTTTGGCAAACCCGTGTGCACCAGGACAGTCTTAAAGGGGCAGGACGGGGTGGAAATGGGGACGTCCCCACGGTACCAGGCTTTGGTTGTGCCAGAGGCTGATGTTGATGGGCTCCATGAGGTTGTCCACGTGTTCACTGCCCAGCTGGGCCCCCAGGACATAGTCGTTGAGCAGAGATGAGTTGTCATTCTGGAAGGGTGACAGAAGAAGGGCTGACTAGAGGGGACGTGAGGACACCTGGACGAGGTCCCAGAGCCCCCCTTCTCCAGGCCCTCCTCCCTGGCTGAGAGGAGTAGCATGCTTTCATATGGCCAACATGAGCCAACCTCCGGGCCTTTGCACATGCCGCCCCCTCCGCCTGGAAAGCTGTCCTCTGACCACCCCCTGCTCCACCTCCCCTCTGTGTACCCTCCACTTTACCACTATCCTAACTCACTTTCCATGCCAAGGTTAAAAGACACCTTCTCCAGAAGCCCTCCCGGATTGCCCATGGGAACAACCCCGACCCCACCCTGCCTCACCCATCACTTTGCATCTCTGTGGTTATAATCAACCTTGAGCTAAAATTAAGTCTCTAAGGTCCTAGTGTAACTGTCAAGATCGAGGGTTCTCTGAGGACAGGGACCTTGGGGCCTTGTTCTGCCTCCTGCCTAGGGACATGCACATACAGAAGTAGGTTTCTTAGGTCTCGTTTGCACATTGTTATCACTGCCTCCCACCATTCTGCTGACACTGAGGCCGGAGAGAGGCCATGGCGGTTCCGGTGGCACAGTGGGCTGGTCCCTCTGATGCTGGTCCCCACCCAGAGCCCCGGTGGTGGCGTGGATGCTGCAGGGCCCCCAGGAAGAGGCCAGTGCCATCCTGCTGGGCCCCCCATGGCACTGACCGGGAAAAACCTGTTGTTGAAGAAGTACATGCAGATGAGACGCAGCTCCCTGCGGCGTGTCCTGCAGGCCTGCTTCGTCAGCTCAGTGGGGAACTGCATGGCATGCCTGGCCCTGGCGGCCTGCGGAGGGCCAGCGAGGCTGAGCTCGGGTCCCAGGGCCTCCAGGTCAGCCCAACACCTTCCCTGGCCCCCACTCCCTGTGAAGCCCTCCCGGCCTCACCCCGGCATTTCTTTCCCCGGAGCCTCCCGCTGCAAAACCCTCCTCCTGGCTGCACCTCCTCCAAACTTGCCGAGATCCAGGTCTTCCCTCCGGGCAGCTCTGGCCTTGAATTTGGGTCACTTGCCTCACCAACTGGGTCCCCAGAGGATGGAGCTTCCCCCCAACCGACCCCCCAGCACCCAGGCATTCAGCAGGAATCACACCAGCATCCTCAAAGGAGCCCCATCCCCTGGCCTCTCCCACGGCTGCCGCTGCCGCCACCCACCATCCCTGCAGAGGCAGGACGAGGACGCTGACGTAGAGGGGCCATCAAACACCCCCATTTCTGTCACTCACATGAGGAACACCAGCCCCATTTTACAGAAAAGGCAACTCAGCTACTGGGACAGAGCCCTGATGGATGGATCCTGGGGAAAGTTCAGACCTTACACCCCTGCAGGATTTCAGGGGTGGAGGCCCTGGCCACCCCCCATGTCCTGGCCATCTCTGACCTGGGGTTCGCGATCCAGAGCATCGCTGTACAGCGAGAGGCCGGCAAAGTCGCAGCCCAGCTTGAAGGCCAGCGTCTGAATGGTGGACGTCTGCAAGGTGAGGTTGGAGCCCTGGAAGGTGGCATTCAGCAGGCTGTACTCCAGACCATGGACGAGACTGAGGGCGAGAGAGGTGACCAGATCTTGGAAAGGGGGTAGGCTGAGTGGGGGTCCAGACAGCCTGAGAGCATAGGGCTTTCCCCACCCACACTCATGTCACTCCCGCCTGTGGGCTTTTGCACATACAGTGTCCCTGGCACACTCTTACCTCCCCACCCCACTCATTTCCTTCTCCTGATTAACTCTGGATCAGGTCCCAGTTTGTTGACACCTCCTCCAGGAAGCCTTCCTTGGCTGCTCCATGTTGACTGATTGAAGTGCCCCATAGTCCCCAGGCTTCCCTGGCCAGTCGTCAGCATTGGCCTCTCAGCCAGAGCTGCTCGGCCTTTAGGTCACAGACTCGAGAGACTAGCCTGAGTTTTAGAGCCCCTTCTAAGAAATATGCACAGCAATCCATGATTCTGCACCTGGCTTCATGACACCCCTGGTTAAGGGCCCCCAACCACATAGTAAACTTGATGGGGGCAATGAGATATGTCTATCCTGCACCTCCAGAGCCTAGTGTCAGGCACATAGTAGGCCCTCAATGAATGCATGTTGAATAAATGAATTAATAGTCTACACTAGCCAGGCTGGCATGACTCAGCAGTCGACCTATGAACCAGGAGGTCACGGTTCAATTCCTACTCAGGGCACATGCCCGGGTTGCAGGCTCCATCCCCAGGAGGGGGTGTGCGGGAGGCAGTCAATCAGTGATTCTCTACCATCATTGATGTTTCTACTTCTTTCTCCCTCTCCTTTCCTCTCTGAAATCAGTGTGTGTGTAATCTGAGTGGCCAGATTATTATGACCGGCCAGATTATTATGACCACCCCGTCAGTACAATGAAGTGAATTAGTTATGCAAATAATAATAATAATAAAACCTTGAGGGTATTTGCTTAGGAAGGTTTCAATATTCAGTATTTTTGGAAGTGTCAATGAAGTACTGATGGGGTGGTCATAATAATCTGGCCGGTCATAATACTCTGGCCACTCAATATGTGTGTGTATATATATGTATATATATATATATATATTTAATAGTCTACACTAGACCAACTTTGGACCACTGATTCAAGCTACAAGCGTGGAGTGGGAGGCACAGCTGCCTCTAGGTGGCGAGGAGGGACACACAACTCACTGGGCAGGGTTAGTTGAGGTTTGTCTCCTGGGCACCTGCTCCATTCTCTTCATCCAGCGCAGGGGTTCTTGGGCTCCCTCTGTGGGAAGCGGGCCAGACCCCCACCTCAGCCTCTGTCCGGAGCTGCCCCCGGCCCCAGGGCCTGTGACTCCCCCACCCCGGCTGAGACGGCTGGTTCACCGCCCTCTCAATCTCCCTTGGTCCGAGGCCTTCCCTTTCCCGTCCCAGCCAGGGGTCTGGGCAAGGGCTGCCTCTCACCTTCTTCCCCGCTCTGAGACGTTACAAAGCCCAGGCAAAGGAAAAGGACCGCACGGCAATCCATGTCCCGGCCAGGTCTCCTCCACCAACCAGCTCCTGCCCTGGAAGGGGGCGCGTGTCACCCCCCAGGTCAGAGGGTGACCTCGGACTTCTTGGGGTCTGGCATGTCCCAAGGGGGGGGACACACAGCATCTTGTTTGATCCCCATGACTCCTGCCTTTCGCAGATGAGGAGACCGAGGCTCAGAGAGCTCCGCTTGAGGCCGCCTGAAGCCAGGGCTCTGTGAATCCAGAATCCTTGACAAGTTCCTAACGCCTGCCATTGGCAGTTCTGCCTGAGTCACTCCACCCTCCCCAAAAAATGGGTTTTCTAGGGGCTTCCCCCACGGCTCTGACCTCACCTGGGGGAAGTTGCTTGGGAGCAAGCAACCCCTAACCCTGTCCAAGCCTGTTGTTAACCCATCATGTGACTTTGAGCAAGGATCTAGCCCTCTCCGCCCTCATTTTCCTCGGTTTTAAATTTTGTTGTTGTTAATCCTCATTGGAGGGTATTTTTCCATTGAATTTTAGAAAAAGTGGAAGGGAGAGACAGAGAGAGAGAGGAACATGGATGTGAGAGACACATCAAGTGGCTTCCTGACCAGGGCTGGGGATGGAGACTGCAACCAAGGCATGAGCCCTTGACCGGAATCAAACCTAAGACCCATTACTCCTCAGGCCCCAGCTCTATCCTCTGAGCCAAACTAGCTAGGGCTCCTCGGTTTTAAAATGAACTAATAGCCCTGGCTCGTTTGGCTCAGTGGATAGAGCGTTGGCCTGGGGACTGAAGGTCCCAGGTCTGATTCCGGTCAAGGGCACATCCCTGGGTTGTGGGCTCGGTCCCCGGTGGGGGGTGTGGAGGAGGCAGCCGATTGATGAGTCTCATTATTGATGTTTCGATCTCTCTCTCCCTCTTCCTTCTTCTCTGAAATCAATAAAAATATATATTTCAAAAAAAAACGAACTAATAAACTTCTGCTTAAGGGCAGCCAACGTATGGCTCTCCTCAGAAGCTCCATGAAAAGGAGAGTAAGTAAATAAAACAGACACCAAGCCACACAGACACGCGATGGGACAGACGACAACGGCAGACCAGTGTCGTCGGCAAAACTAGGAGGCTACCAACCAGGTGAGAAATGCAGCAGAGCCCAGCACGTCTAACCCGAGTGCCCGCAGTGGGGAGCGGGGTGGCGGGGTGGGGGGAAGGGACCGTGGGCAGCCAGCCAGCTCAAGCCTCACGACCTTGCAAGCCCTTGAGACGCAGATGCAGCAGGAACCTCGGAAGGCAGGGATGGAGGGCGAGGCTGAGAGTGGGGTGCTTGGCTGTGAGTCTTTCAGATGACCACCTTGGCCCGCAGCTCTCCTCGGGCCCTTGACTCGCCGGGAGCCCTCCTCACCACACGGCCATCCTCAGCCCACCCCAGCACAGTTCTCTCCCGGGAGATGGTGCACGTAGAGGACCTGAGAGCAAAGGCGGGTGTCACTGGTACAATGAAGCCATGTCCCCACCCTGCCTCCTCCTCCACGCAGCCCCCAGGAGACCACAGCAGCCATGGTGATGATGCCCAAACAGGAGAGAAGTCTGCTCTGAAGAGCTCACCATTTCAAGAACAGTATCCTACAGTTACTGGTGTTTTTAAATATATATATAGTATTTTTTTTTATTGATTTCAGAGAGGAAGGGAGAGGGAGAGAGAGATAGAGAGAGAGAGAGAGAGAGAGAGAGAGAGAGAGAGAGAGAGAGAGAGAGAGGAACATCAATGATGAGAGAGAATCATGGATTGGCTGCCTCCTGCACACCCCACACTGGGGATCGGGCCCCCAACCTGGGCATGTGCCCTGATCGGGAATTGGACCGTGACCTCCTGGTTCACAGGTCGATGCTTAATCACTGCGCCATGCCAGCCGGGCTAGTAACTGATGCTTTGGTGTTCCTCGATAAAATGGCCAGGACCAAACTTACGGCGAAGCTTCAGCAGTCACGGAGCCCTGCCAGGCAAATGAGTTTATAGTGCTCTGCTCTTAAAGAGGCGTGGTCAGCCAAGACCACTAGGTCTTTTAAAACATGCCACCCACTCCCCCAGGAGGCTGCCGGAGGATGTGCGCCACCAAAATGAGGGAGTAAATCATGGGAGAAGACTTAGGGTTCCAGAAACCGCGCCCCCACGAGGAGCGGTGAGGCTACTCCTCAGAGAATGGGTGAGAGAAGGCCCGGGTTGATGGCTGGACAGCAGGACGAGGACACATCCTGTTCAGACGGCAGCAGGCGCCAAGAAGGCTCCAGAAGGCGGCCTCGAAGAATAAAAGAAGGAGGAAGAGAATAAACGGACTAGCTAGCGGGTTTGGACACCTAAGAAAATTATTTTGAGAAATGCCCTATAAAAAGCTTGCAAATGAAAGATAAAAATGAGCCGTTAATTTCAGAAAAAAAACAAGTTGTACAAGGAAGAACATGTAATCTTGCTCCACACATTGACTTAACCGGGGATAAAATTTATACAGTCATAATGAAAACACGGAAGGGGAGGTTTCCTTTTTCTAATTGTGTGAAAACCATATGACAATGATTTCAACTCCCACTGGCGATGTCGCGAGCCACAGGAGAACATCGCCCCCGCCGTGGCGCTGGAGAAAGCCAAGCAATGAACAAAATTACTTTCTGAGCCTTTTGGAGAGCGGCGGGCACCAGGTCACCGAGGAAACTGGCGGGCTTGTGGCCAACGAGCCCTTCAAGGATGAACTGTTTCACCTTTGACAGAGGGAGAGGAAGTTGCCACCAAAAAAGAAAAAGAAAAAATAAGAAAACAACTGATATCGTAATGAATTATTAAAGACTGTGAACTAGACTGGCAGTTTGGGGCCCCTTGGGGGCCCCAGATACTAGGGGAGTCTATTTCTTCCCACCGTTTTCTACTGGGTGCATATGGGAGGGATGCAGCCGATCTATGCTTCACTCTCACATCGATGTTTTCCTCTCTCCCTCTCCCTTCCTCTCTCTCGAAAATCAATAAAAACATATTTAATGATAATACGAATTCTACAAAAATTCTTCCAGGAAAAAATAAGTAAAAGGCAAAGAAAGAAATAACAAGATCGTAAACATATCCTTTCAGAAAATAAAGGAGGCTGGAATGCTTCCAAACTCATTTTATGCCAATATTAGTGTGGTGCCCAAAACAGCCATGGGCATCACAAGAAAACCACAGACCAGTACCCCTCATGAATATAAATCAAATCAAAATCAAAATCCCTGCTGGGTATTTTGTAGAAATTGACAAGCTGATTCTAAAATTTATATTAAAAAGCAAAGGACCTAGCCCTAGCCGGTTTGGCTCAATGGATAGAGCATTGGCCTGCGAACCAAAGGGTCCCGGGTTCGATTCTGGTCAAGGGCATGTACCTTGGTTGCAGGTTCCTCCCCAGCCTGGGCCCCAGTCAGGGCTCATGCAGGAGGCAGCCAATCGATGTGTTTCTTTCACATCAATGTTTCTGTCTTTCCCCCTCTCTTCCACTCTCTCTAAAAATCAATGGAAAAATATCCTTGGGAGAGGATTAAAAACAAACAAACAAAAAGGACCTGCAATAGCCAAGACAATTTTGAAAAGGAAGAACAAAGTTGGCATCACACTAGTGATTTCAGGGCTCAGTATAAAGCTACAGTAATCAAGGTAGTGTGTTCCTGGCATACGGCTAGACATACAGATGAATGAAACAGAATAGCGTCCAAAAGTATATCCAGATAAATATGATAAATTGAGTTTTGACCAAGATGCAAAGGTAATTTGATGGAGAGAAGATAGTCTTTCCAATAAGTGGTTCTGGAATAAATGGATATTCCATGCCAAAAACGAAAAAGAACTTGGACCCATACGTTGCAGCATATACAAAATTTAACTCAAAATGGATCATAGATTGAAATATCAAAACAAAGTATAAAACTTCTTGGGGGGGAAAGGAGAAAATCTTTCTGACTTTAGGTTAGGCAAAAATTCTTAGAAATACCACCAAGCGAGGTCCTTAGGGAAATGCAAATAAAGAATCTAACATCTCAAGGGAATCGGTGGGTGACGCCTACAAACTTTTCATTCTGCTTATCCTCTGACCCAGGAAACCCATTTTTATGAATTTATCCTATAGAAATAATAGGGCAAGCCAGGAATGTATACATAGAGAGACATTTTTCGAAAAATATATTTTTATCGCCTGGTCGGCCTGACTCAGTGGTTGACCGTCAGCCTATGAACAGGGAGGTCACGGTTCAATTCCCTCTCAGGGCACATGTCGTGGTTGCAGGCTCAAACCTCAGTGTGGGGCGTGCAGGAGGCAGCCGATCCATGATTCTCTCTTATCATTGATGTTCCTATCTCTTTCTCCCTTACTCTCAATCCCCAATGAGACAGAATCATGGATCGGCTGCCTCCTGCATGCCCCACACTGGGGATCGAGCCTGCAACCCAGGCCTGTGCCCTGAGCAGGAATGGTCGACGCTCAACCACTGAGCCAGGCTGGCCTGGCGATTGAGAGATATTTATAAATACAATTGTTAATCATAAAGAAAAAATGGAAACTATGTAAATGTCTACCCATAAAGAAATTGTTAAATAAATTACTAGGTGTACCGTTAATAATGCAGATTTTTTCGATAGATGGAGTTACACATATGTTGATATATATGCAATTTGATATGTATGCTATTTTGTTGTATTGACAATAAGCTTCAAAACTTTCATATGTCAAAATTTCTGAAGGTGTTAACATCATAGATATTTTTACGCTTAAAAATGTCAAATTTCGTGCCAAAAAAAAGAGCATTTACGGGAAGTTTTAATTCATTACTTTATTTTGAAGAAAAGTGCTGCTGAACACTTCGGAAAGCTTATGGTGAACATGCTCCATCTCAAGATACTTGTGAACGCTGGTTTAAATGCTTTAAAAGTGATGATTTCGATGTGAAAGACAAAGAACGTCCAGGTCAACCGAAAAAGTTTGAAGACCAACAATTACAAGCATTATTGGATGAGTCAAAAACAACTTGCAGACAGATTAAACGTTGCTCAGCAAAC